CCTGGCCCTCTTTTGGATGAGGTTTTGCTAAATGAGTCCTGGAGGCATTAAATTTCTATGCAGGACCTCCATCCTACCAGCTCTTAAGTCTACACTCCTACAGCAATTGAGGAGAGCAGCGATTAAATACTGCAATGAAAAGAGGTGAGGAAAGGATCCCTTCAAATGACACAGTTCTGGAAGGCCCCTGAGAGAAGGCTTCGGCCAACTTCCTCTTCCTTCAACTGAAAGAGTGACCTATGAAATTGGTTCAGTCTCACCGAAGACTGACTCAGGCAGGACTCTAACACAAGTGCCCGGTCCCGAGTTAAGGACAGGGGCTGGGAAGGTGGCTCAGTGGTAGAGCGCTTGCCTTACATACATGAGGCCCTGGGTTCGATTCCTCAGCACCACATAAGCAAAAAGTCGGAAGTGGTGCTGTGGCTCAAGTGGTAGAGCGCTAGCCTTGAGCTGAAGAGCTGAAGGACAGCGCCCAGGCCCAGAGTTCAGGCCCCATGACTGGACCCCCCCCCAAAAAAAAAAGGACAGAGAAAACTTAAATGTGCTGTGGGCCATTTCAGATGGCCAGACACACAAGCATTTGCTGTCTACAGCAGTCACTGGACACAGCTATAAGGTAAATATAAGACAAGACACAGACTGAAATTCTTGGTGGCAAAGCAGCTACAGAAACAGCTTCACATGACAGACATGCCTATAATACCTAGTTTTTGCCAACTCAGAAACCCAAGCTTTCTTTAAAAACCCTGAGATGGGTGCCCGTGGCTCATGTCTGTAATCCTAGCTACTCAGGAAGATATGATCTGAGGATTGCAGTTCCAAACAAACCTGGGCAGGAAAGTCTGTAAGACTCTTATCTCCAAAAATCACCAAAAAGTTAGAAGTAGAGCTGTGGCCTGGGTGGCAGACGGCTAGCCCTGAGCAAAAAAAGCAACAACAACAAACAAACCTCAAGGACAGAGCCTAGGCCTTGAATTCAAGACCCAGGACCAGTGCAAACAACATCAAGAGCCTTTATGAATATGAAAGATTTCACACCACAGAAAAGTATGGCAGGCTGAAATTTTTACTTTTTCCTTTCCCTCTGCACTCTGCTCTCTGTCCCTGAGGCTGATGGATGCAAACCCTGCCCAGGGCCTGAGTCAAGCTGAAGACCAAGGTTTTTACACAGAAACCTCTGGAACATATTGAGATCCAAATTATAGGAACGAATCCTTTCTTTGAACTGCATCTTGCTCAAATTCCTTTTTGTGCATCTCCTTTAACTGTGGGTAGTAGATATCAGATATATCACAATAACTATGGAGATCTCAACCAGCTACCATGGGCCTTTGATTCAACCTTTGTTCTGTTGGTCAACACCACACCATGAGATCTTGCTTGTGGTCCCTTAAGACTTCAGTGGCTCCAGGACTGATTAACTGCCATGTAGAGTCATGTCCTATAATGTTTTCTTAGTGACAGACTCTTTAATACTGTTAATACTTATTAAATATATTTAGCTAGAATTATTTTTCATACACATGGTTATAGCTGGTTCAAACTGTTTGCTGTGAGGTAAGTGATTATATGTCTATAAAGTTTTAAAATACATAAAAACTGCTAAAGAAAAGAAATTTGGAGATGCTAAATTTAATATAATTTAGGAAATTAAACAGATATTGTCTCATATGATCATGGCAATAAGGTCAGAGCTATAAAATTGTTGGGCTTTAAAAATATATTTAGATATAAAGTTTTTCAGTATTTTTCAGTTTTTTCAGTATTTATCCAGAAACTCCTACCATACAACATATGAACCCACCTAGTCTACCCCCCCCAAAAAAAAAAAAAACACCAGTCAGTTTAGACACAAGTTTGAGAAAGAGAGCAGCAGGGGACATAAGTTCCAGAATGGCAAATTAGAAAATGTTAGAACCACAAGTCTCCCCCTAGTTCTGAGGTTCTTTGTCACTCTCATTCCTCTCTGCAGACCAACTGTTTACCAACCACTGTGGGCTTATGGCTGAGTCTCCATGGTAGGATAGCTAGAAAATAACTAAGGCGTTCCCCTGGCCACAGCAGTGTGGGAGGCAATAAGGGTAAGCTGACTTTAGCACTTGCTATGGTTAAGAGAACTGGCAAGAACAGGAAATATTACTGTGTCTTTGATACAGACAAATATCTGAGAGGATCATGATTTATAATACAGATTTGCTGTGTAAATCTATCAATGTCCTTTCCAATAATATTCACTCAAAAACTACCTCATACTAAAATCAAAATTAGAGACGTTAACTTTTTTTTTTTTTTTCCAGTCGTGGGGCTTGAACTCTGGGCCTGAGCGCTATCCCTCAGCTCTTCAAGCTCAAGGCAAGCGCTCTACAACTTGAGCCAAGCACCACTTCCAGTTTTCTGGTGGCTTATTGGAGATAAGAGTCTCATGGATTTTCCTGACCAGGCTGGCTTTGAACTGCAATCCTCAGATCTCAGCCTCCTGGAGTAGCTAGGATTACAGGTGGTAGCCACCTGCGCCCGGCCAGAACTTAGAACCAAAGCTAAGAGTAATTCATAAAAGTGAAGGGAAGTCAGTGGGAATAGGTGAAATCCCTTTTATACAATGAGTAAAATTTATTTCATTCATATCCCAAAGTAAGTGAGGAAATAAAGCTGCATGGATGGCTTCTGAATGAGATAATTCCTCTGTGTGAATAAAAAATTCATTGGGCTCAAGTATTACAGAAGTAAGCTAGACAGCATGAAAGTTTAATCCTTATGCATTGTTTACTAGCTGTCAAATCATTTGGGGAATTATTTTTCACAGTAATTCCTTCCCATCCTAAAATCATGCTAAGTGACAAGGAGAAGAAAAAAGTGTTCAATACTTAACATTTCTGAGGGGAGGACTACCACCCTATCCCTGCCCCCTTTCACCACACCCAGGCCTTCACATAATCAAAGTGTTCCTGCTGCTCACATTGGGCTCAGGAATTTGCTCATTACTGCCCAGCCTCTCTATTGGCTTACCTTCTTGGCAGTCAAACGTTCAACCAGCATATAAAATGCCCCATACACAACTCATGACAATATTCAAGGACTGTGATATCTTGGGCAGAAGAGCAGCACTACAAACACATATCACAGGAATACACAGCAGCCAGATTGGCTTCAGGGGCAAAGACAACTTCCTGGAAAAGGTAGTATCAAGGATAAATAACATTCGGCCAAGCTAAGAGGTGGGAGAGCTACAGGAGGCTGGATTCTCATGCACAGAGGCAGGAGAGCAGATGCAAAAAGCCCCAGGCAGCTGAAGTGGAGTGAGATGGGGAAGGACAAAGGACAGACTGCAGCCTTATGCCAGGCCTCTGAGGAGTTCCTAATTTGACCGATGGTCCCTCTGAGAAATGGTCAATTTTGAAATAAAACTGGTTCACAAGAAAGGACACAAGTCTTAAGGCAAGGAGTCCCCTGGATGCAAGCCACCACTGCAGCTGTTGATTTTTAACTGCACAGGAGAACCAAATCAATACCTAATTTTAGAAAACTTTGTCACAGACTGTGAAATAAGGTGAAGGACAGACAGATTGGATCCACAAACAAAAGTTTCAGTCCAGATGAAGTATTACACTCCTAGGCAGCATGTAAAACGTATCTCTACCCATAAAAAAGAAAAGAAAGATCACAATTCATCCATGCAGAAATTCTACCTAGTGAATAAATCAAGGTAGTCATCTCATAAGAAGTTACTACCATAGCTAGAGAGCCCAGGAAAGGATGCTAACCCCCTAAAGAAGCTAAACATGGCTGTCACAAAGTTCTCTGACATGTCAATGGACCTCTCTGGCCCTTAATTTCCTCATTTGCACTATGGTAAGAAGGAAAGAGTACAGACTCAAACGGGATATAAATTTTTTTTAAAAGCATGAAGTTTAGGTAGTTTCTAAGTTATAAAGCATGTATAACTGAATATAAAGATAATTAAAATTTTAAGACAAGCAAATGAGATGTTGTTTTTAAAGTAAAAAGAAAGAATTACTATAACCAGAGAGGCAATGCTTTGAGCTGTTCACTTCCCTTTCTGTTGGTTTCATTTCCTTCTTAGATAAAAACATTCCTGATACGTAACTTTCCCCTGAAGACTTTGAGAGTCCTATGGCATGATAACAAAAAGTTATTTCTTGAGTTCTATGTGATGCAGAAGCATTGGAGAATTACATAATAAAGCAAACCAAAATGGATAAAAGTATCTGATGTACTTGGCAAAGCAAAAGAAAATAAATGAAGATGCTATTTTTTACTATTTAAACATAAATATTTTAAACAATAAATAGTATTATTTAATAGTATGATTTTAGGGACTCATTAATGAAGATACAATGTAGGAGTATCTACTAAGTGCCAAGTGCTTTGTTAGGTACATAGAATATTTTCTGGACTAGCGTCCTCCAAATGAGAATTATGTATGATAATTGCATAGAAACTAAGTAGAAACAAAAAGTAACTAAAGTCTAGAAAAGTAAAGAAGTTAGACTTTGAGCCCATTTTGGCCCAGCATCAAATAGTCTTCTCTTTCCATAAAAAGAGCAGACTTTGGCCAGATACCAGTGGCTCACACCTGTAATCTTAGCCACTCAGGAGGCTGAGATCTGATTATCACAGTTTGAGACCAGCCTTTCCTAAGTCTCAGATTCTTATCTCCAATTTACCACAAAAAGCCAGACGTGGAGGTGTGGCTCAAGCACTTGAACACAAAAGGTTAGGGACAGTGCCCAAGCCAAGAGTTCTAGCCCCAGGACCACAAAAAAGGGGGGGGGGCAAACTTTAAACATCAAAATAATCAATAGAAACAATGTTCCCTCCTTTTAACATGGCTCTTAAACAGATGCCTTCATTTCAAGAGGAGCCTATGCTAAACGTGACTTCACAAACAAGTCACTTGTGAAAGAGAAAAACCACATGCAGGGTGAAGTCTCAACTTGAGAAGCCTTATTTCACAGAGCACTTCCTGAAAGAGAGCAGCGATCACAGCCACTACTCCAGAACCAGCACTGCATGTGAAACTGCCTTCTGAAGAAACAAGTGAGGCCAAGACAAAAGAAATACAGCATTTCTGAAAAGCTCCATTTCCAGGCAGAACGATCTTAACACAGGCAACTCCAAGATCCCCTTTTACAGAACACTGGAAAATGTTCACCTCTATCTAACGCGGCACTTTGATGGGCAGGAGGTAAGCAGCAGTCAGTTAACTTTTGCACTCCATTATTAGAAAGGAATGCTCGAAAATTAGTATTAAGCTAAAGAAAATCACTGTTCTATTTTATTAAAACATTACAGAAACTATGTTGATGAAGGATCTTAAAATATGTTGTTATACTAATAATGTTTTTAAATTATTAGTATATAATGCTTTTAAGACATCTATCATTCGTATTCTTTTTAAACTGAATACAAACAAGAGTTGTTAACAAATGGACTACATAAAAAGGAGCTTGAGCCCAGTGGTGGATAAGATTTAATCAAGAGAGTTTGTAAATATAGGGGTGAGGATGAATGAAAAAAAAACCTCAATTCATTACATTGCCATTGTTAGTATTTAAAAATCTGTTGAGAGTAAAATGCATGATTCAAGTTATTCTCCTTTGTATGATACTAAAGATCTACTCTTTCTATGCAGTACTTCACTCCTTACATAAAAGTTAACACGCTAGGTATCCCAACATTTGGAAAGCTAAACTTTAGAATTGTATTCAATCCAAACGTTTGACAAACCATTTGAAGAAGTCTGGAATTGGAAAGGAAGGAAGAAATGGAGGAGAGGGAAACAAACTCCTGTCTTGTGTTCATTCATAGCAATTGTTCAAATTAATTCCTATCAACAGCCCATGGTGCCACCAACTTGGCTGTTAATCTTCCCCACAGCTTCACTAATGAGAGCCAGGGCTGAATTATGGATGAACCACTCTACAAAAGAACATGCTTATAGAACCTTCTCATGGACCTCAATATTTCAGAGATGGCTAGAGGTTCAATCTCTTTGCAGCAAATGTTTTTTGAACCAGTTGAGGTTGCATCCTGGATAACGGGATGTCACACTTAGGGTCAATGTTATTTACAATTAACTTCCTTTTTTATGATGGTAATTTATCAGGTTTTTACTTATACATCAAGTTATTGACTGATTTCTTAGTATCTACTTTTGCTTAATTTGACAAACAGCAGAGCAATAACTTATTTTCAAAGTGCTGCTTTCTATGCAGCACCAAGGCAGCAAAATTCAGTCTTTAGGAAACTGTTAAACTCAGTTCAAGAGCCTAGGTTCCAAGTGTATACACCGCCCATGATACAAAACAGTTCTGTTTCTAGATATATGGCAATTTAAAGAGAATATAAGATATACTATGAAGTGATTACTGCTTACAAAATTAAAAAAAAAAGATTTAACAGGACAACAATTCACTGACAAGCAGAGAACAGCTGCTATAGGTGACCTCACCAAACATTCTTTCCTTTTTTACTTAAGCATTTTATTACTGAGCACCTACCATGTGCTCAATAGGCAGTGGAAAAGTGGGGAAAAAAGAAGTTCCTGCTTTGTCATGTGAACTGCTGTGACTGCTCAGTAATTAGCTGGCTATATGGTTCTTTCATTATTTGTTTGTTTACTGTAGGTCCTGGGGCTTTAACTCAGGGTCTGGATGCTGTCTCTGAGATTCTTTTTATCAAGGCTAGTACTCTACAAGTTGGGCCACAGTGCTACTTCTGGCTTTTTCTGGATAGTTTATTAGAGATAAGACTGTAATGGACTTTCCTGACCAGGATGGCTTCAAACCACAATCCTCAGATCTCAGCCTCCTGAGTAGCTAAGATTATAGGTGTGAGCTATTAACAACCCAGCTTTTATTAGTTTTTAATATGCACTTTAAAATTTGTATTTAATGAGTAAAACTTTATTCTCTGGATATTACTAATTCGAGCTATAAACTAGTTAAACATAATGAAGATGATAAAAATTGGTAAATCATTTTGTAAGATTTTAAAATCCAGATTGGCCTTTCCTCCATTAAAGCAAGCAAAAGACTATTACTAATGCATTTGATGCTACAGGAAAAGAATTGTAAAGAAACGGTTATTCTTCGGGGAATAAAGGTGAGTAAAAACAGTGAATGTGAATGAATCTGCCATAGTATTATGACATTTACTTAGCGGATACTACATAATAAAGGATGTAGTGTAGCTAGCTTTAGTGACAGAGCACTTGCCTGGCATGCACAGGGAACAGTCAGTACTGAAGAAAAAAATAGTTCATGACAATCCTCCCTAGGGAATGCATTCTTCAATAAAAGCTAAGACACACGTTAGGTTTTTAGCATAAAATGTTCTCAAAATGAATTTGAGAATATTAAGAATCTATTTCTAACCAAAGGTTTTTATGCCTATTTTTCTTAACAACTTTTAGTGTCTTAAGTATCATGCCTACCAGGCATTTATAAGATGACTATCACAAGCAATCAAGACAGCAATCAACCTGGCCCTTCTAACAGGTCACATCCAGATGAGTACAAAATTGCAGCTCTGGTCTTCTACAGCTGCATCTTCCTGATTGGATTGTTCGTTAACGTCACTGCATTATGGGTTTTCAGTTGTACCACCAAGAAAAGAACCACTGTAACCATCTATATGATGAATGTGGCACTATTGGACTTGATATTTATCATGACTTTGCCCTTCCGAATGTTTTACTATGCAAAAGGTGAGTGGCCATTTGGAGAGTACTTCTGCCACATTCTTGGGGTTCTTGTAGTGTTTTATCCAAGCATTGCTCTATGGCTTCTTGCTTTTATTAGTGCCGACAGATACATGGCCATAGTACAGCCCAAATATGCCAAAGAGCTCAAGAAGACATGCAAAGCTGTGCTTGCCTGTGTGGGAATCTGGACAATGACCCTAATGATCATGGTCCCTCTGCTACTACTCTATGAAGACCCAGATAAAGCTTCCTCCCCTGCCACCTGCCTGAAGATTTCTGACATCATCCACTTCAAAGCTGTCAATGTGCTGAACTTCACTCGACTGATATTTTTTTTCTTGGTTCCTCTGTTCATCATGATTGGGTGCTATGTGGTCATTATTCACAGTCTCCTGCGTGGAAGGACATCTAAGCTGAAACCTAAGGTCAAGGAGAAGTCCATAAGGATCATCATCACACTCCTGGTGCAGGTGCTCATCTGCTTCGTGCCCTTCCACATCTGTTTTGCTTTCCTGATGCTGGATGGTGGAGAAAACAGTTACAACCCCTGGGGAGCCTTTACCACCTTCCTCATGAACCTCAGCACATGTCTGGATGTGATTCTTTACTACATTGTTTCCAAACAATTTCAAGCTAGAGTCATTAGTGTCATGTTATACCGCAATTACCTTCGGAGTGTGCGCAGAAAAAGTTTCCGATCCAGTAGTTTACGGTCATTGAGCAATATGACCAGTGAGATGTTGTAGAGTAGAAAGCTGATTTTCTCTATCTCTTTAAAATTCACTTTCCTATTCCAAATAGGTATTACCAAGTCCCTTCTCCCATTAAAACAACAAAAACTTTAAAACCTTTTATGGATTATTGTGGCATGATTACATATACTGAGCATTCTAATACACTCAATTTTATTGTAAAACTTGTATTAAACATTTTCATGAATCATTAGAAAAAAACACTCAAACTTTGTTTCATAGTCAAGCTTATCTACTCAGATAATTGCGCTAACATTTTGGATTAATTCTGTGTAATGACTGATATGAGGGGGAAAATTCAGCTACAGTTCAAAATAATCTGATTACACTATTTCTACTTTGATGCACCTCCTTTTTGTCTAGTTAACACTCAGGATTTGAGGTTCAAATTCACTATTTTATGTGATAAACTTTCAGTATTTTTACAAAAACACTTATGTTCAACTCATCACTGTTCATTGCTATAAAACAAGCAACAGAAGGGTCTAGAAAGGTCATATTACAGCCCTCCCCTACTATGAATTCATTTTTTGTGAAAACAGAATACAGTCACCCCACAAACATTCCTTAGAATTTATTATACACCAAACCTAACAGGAGACAAGCCTGAAATCCTATTTCTACCCAATAGTCTAATCTGTGACAAACAATATGTAATATGTGGTGAAATACCTTTCTCTAATATTGACACTTTGTTTTGTGTAGTTAAAAAGTACATTACACGGATTGTGTTCCAGGATATATGCCATAGTATAAATAGCATTGTCCAGGGATTTTAGGTTCTTAAGCTAGCCTGGCTTTTAAATTTCTCCATAAAGTAAATTCTCTACCCTCTAAAAAAATCACAAAAACAGGAAAAGCTGTAATATATAAAAGGATTATTTTAAATAATATGACAGTAAAATAAATAATTCAACTATGGCTTACTTTATGCTAAATTATCTTTATTATGCTTAATATGATCACTTCCTAATGAGACTAAGAACTAAATATATGTATTGGTTATTAATGGATTTCTAAAATTAACATGAGTAAATTCAGATTTTAAGAAAGAAAAAAGAAAATCACAAGGTATTCTAATCACAAAATAACATTTTAGCACTTAGATGATCTGGTCTAACTCTTCTGTTTTAAACATAAAGAGATCCAGGTATGTTATCAGACATCTATAATCCCAGACCTTGGAAGGTAGAGGCAGAAGGGTCACAAATTCAAGGTCAGCATGAGCAATTAGGGAGATACACAGTATTGAAAACTCAAGGCTAGGAGCCAGGCACTGGTGGCTCATGACTGTAATCCTCAGGAGACTGAGATCTGAGAATCCTTTTTGAAACCAATCCAGGCAGGAAAGATCAAAAGACTCCTCAATTCATAGCTATATGGGAGGCTGAGATTAGAAGGATTATGATTCCAGGACAGATAAGGAGAAAAACCCAGGAGACTTCATCTAACAGAAGAAGCTGCATGTGGTTTAAAAATGAGGGCTGGCCTGGTCAATCTTGTCTTTTAGGGGAGAAAACAAAACAAAACAAAAAATCCTGACAATGTATGGGATGCTTTGATAGAAAGACAAGTTCAAGAATTACTGTAAAAATCTAAGCAAGGAAAGATTACTGTTAAGAAAAGTTTAGGCAATAAGAATTAAGACTTCAGAAAGATCAGGAAAATAGAATGGGCTGGAAACAGGGGGCTAGAAAACAACAGGTGTGAACTATCCTTGAAGTCACAGCAGTAGAAGAAATAGCCCAAAGGAACCACAGGGAATAGGCTCGAGAAAAGGCCAGAAAACAGCAGGAAAGGTCAAAAGAACCAAGAGAGAACATGCTGGCATTCACAAAGCAGGTGGCTTCATGAGATTGGGATTAAAAGAGGTTAAAAGCATTTGATGTGCTATGAAAGGTCAAACAGGATGACTGATGGACTTACAATTAGAACTTGAGATCTATACTAGAGAAATTCAGTAATGTTAAAGTAAAAAAAGAAAAAGAAAAGAAACAGAATTGTGTAGGAAAAACTGTAAGAAGACAAATAAATTTGGCTTTGATAAGAAAGCTGTTTTGTGAAACACAATGAAAATCGTAAAGAACAGTTTGCCTTTTTTCTTTTGTTTTTGAAGCTTTGGTACAGAAGTTTAATATTAAAAAGTTTATTTGCTGAAGTAATGATGTTTCAAGAAGTCTATATGAAAAAGATTTAAGATTATAAAAAGCCATACTAGAATGTTTTGTGACTTGAAAAGAAAAAGAAATATATTCTCACTCAGAAAATGGCTGAATTAACATTTGTTTCTTTCAAAGATAATATTATTATTTATTAATTTATTCAGGACTCCCAACTCTTGCTACAGAGATTTAAATATTTCTCTCTCTTAAAAGTTAATAAAAAATTGCTGGGCACCGGTGGCTCACACCTGTAATCATAGCTACTCAGAAGGCTGAGATCTGAGGATTGCGGTTCAAAGCCAGCCAGGGCAGGAAAGACTGTGAGACTCTTATCTCCAATAAACCACTAGAAAACTCGAAGTAGCACTGTGGCTCAAGGGGTAGAGTACTCGCCTTCAGCTGAAGAACTAAGGGAAAGTGCCCAGGTCCAAAGTTCAAGCCCATGACCAAAAAAAAAAAAAAATGTAAAAAATTTCCACCAACTCCAAATCAGACTTCTTCATGCACCAATGAATATGATTTTATAGCAAAATAAATATGATGATTCCACTGTCATCCAACCCTTTGTACTGTGTCATCAGACAAAGGGACAGTAAAAATAAGAGCTAAGAACTATGTTACTATTCATCTCAAGGTTTATTCTAATACAAGCACACATGGACACACACTCACTCTTCCAGAACTCACAGTAGGCTTTTTTTCCAGAATTACACCAAATACTTCCCAGTGACTTCACTTCTCTCACAAAGCAGTCAGCATACACATCTCAGTTTAATTACACTTAAAACCCATGGCAATCAATAAGCCTGTGTGATAACTATCACACAGAACTTCCTATCTCTACTCAACGTGTTAGTACAGTACATTAAAACAACTAAAGGTCTACATTCATCGACAATCATGTCTATTATAACCCAGTAACTTCATGAAGTGCAATTATAATGCAAATACTATCAATGTAAGTCTGAAAGCTACTGGATCATCAAATATACATTTAAAACAAGGCTCCAAAGTAAGTTAACTTCGGCCTTGAAAACAAGGCCAAAATTAGCACTCAAAGAACTTTAAATATCCAAGATCTATAATTTCCTACCATCTTATCTACCAAATAATTTCATATATTTAATTCACAGATGTGTTAAGAACATTTACAAGTACAAAAACTCTGACTCTTACTACTAGTTATTCCATCTGTATTAAAGCATAATATTTGCGTTGCTAAAATAAATACTAAAACAATATGGAAATATATACTCTAAGCTAGGTTGGTCACTGAAGACTGAGTAAAAAGTTGTAACCTGTATACTGACTGTTTTACCTTTATTTTATTTATTTTATTTTTTTGTGCTAGATCTGGGGCTAAAATTCAGAGCCTCTCACTCTCACTTGGCATTTTTGTTCAAGGCTGGTGCTCTGCCACTGGAGCCACATCTCCACTTCAAGCTTTTTGGTAGTTAACAGGAGATAAGAGTCTCATGAAGTTTTGTGCCCAGGTTAGCTTTGAACTCTGATCCTGAGATCTCAGCCCTCTGAGTGGGTAAAATTACAGCTGTGAGCCACCAGCATCTGGCGGTTTCACCTTTAGAGAATGTATATAAGGCTGGGAAGTTGGCTCAGAGGTAGACTGTTTGCCTTGCACGCATGAGGCCCTGGGTTTGATTCCTCAGTACCACATAAGCAGAAAAAAGCCAGAAGTGGCTGTGTGGCTCAAGTGGTAGAGCGCTTGCCTTGAGCTGAAGAGCTGAGGGACAGCGCCCAGGCCCAGAGTTCAGCCCCCATGACCAACCAAAAAAAAAAAAAAGAAAGAAAGAAAGAAAAGAAAAAAAAATGTATATAAACATTATCAGCTTAAAGACATTCTTGACACATTTAATTTCATACAAATTTATTTTGTTTCTTAATCTAATTGGATTTGTTTATTTAATAGCTCATAAAATTCAAAGACAAAATTAACAACATAAAATACATACAATTTCTATCTTCAAGAGCTGAACAAGATTCATTGAAAATTCTAAGTCAGGTGTGATGGCACATGCCTATAATTCCATCACTGGGAATGAGGCAAGAGGATCACAAGTTCTAGGCCAGCCTGGGCTTCATAATGAACTATGCCTCAAAATGTCACAATGAAACCTCACCTTTTGCCAACTAATGTATGTAATAAAAAAGTTGTTAAAAGAAAAAGACATGTATTATGTCCATGGTTTGGAAAACTTTAAAAAAACACTTAAAATTTTAAAACACAGAATTTTAGAGTTGAAGGAATAATTAAGCCAGGTGTGGCAGTACATACTTATAATACCAAACATTTGTCTGGAATAGGCAAAATAATTGCAATTTTGAGGTTAGCCTGGATACAGTTATTGAGACCCTTTCTCACAAAATAAATTACAAATATAAACAAAAGGAAGTAGCTCAGGAGGTAGAATATTTTCCTAGCAAGCTCCAGGCCCTGGGTTCAATTCCTAAAACCACAAAAGAAAAAAACAAAAAAAAGGATAAACAAACAAAAAAGAAGTAATACAAAATGAACATGTAAACATATACTGGATTTTTTTTTACACAAAACAACGGCTAACCTATATAAATATTGTCTTAGTGACTTTTGTGAATAATCCTTCAATTAGATCTAAGAGTGATACATTCAGTCAATCTTTAAGAGCTACTTACAATCCAGAAGGCAAATTACTGGCCACCGTGATACCCAATGAAAACTGCATGGCTTCAACGAGGATAAAATCAAACAGGGCCGACAAAACCCAGGCACCCAACAAAAAGGACTAAAAAATAAAGCAGAAGAAATGTGAGCAATAAATCACCTAGAAACAAATTTAACATTTATTTAATTAAAATAAGCTTAGGTATATAAACATTTTGTTATTCATTTTTATTAGAACAGACTTTTAAAACTTGGAGAATAAAATAATATTATGCAAATACATTAGCTTCCACAATTCCTATATATGTGGGAGAAGTGGTGTTTGTGCCAAAATATATTTTAACTAGCAACACAAAAACTATTAGGTCAAATAAATTATCAGAATTTTATTCCAAAGTCCTAAGTAAAAGTTTTATTACCTATTTACAACTATTATTGTGTGTTATTTCTACTATTCTCATTACCATCATTTTGTTATTATGGTACTGTTTTAAATATTAAACTTTCCTTTGGCTAATGCCCAAATCAGATATAAGAAAATATAACTTAAAAGATGATTATAAGTAATAAACCAAGTTTTTAAAAATAAAATCTAAAAAAAATAAAAATAAAATCTATTTTAAAATAGGGGTTGGGCAGAGTATCACATGCCTATAGTCCCAGCTACTCAGAAATCTGAGGCAATTGGATTATAAATACAAGGCCAGCCTGGGGAATTTAGCAAGACTCTCCTATCTCACAATTTTTATAAGTACATAAACAGGCTGCACATAGTGGCTCAAACTTGTAATCAAGCCACTGGGGAGATACAGATCAGAGGACTATGGTTCAAAGCCAGCCCGGGCACAATAATGTTTACGAGATTCCATCTGAACCAATGTCCGGTTATAGTAGCTAGTGCCTGTTTCTCCAGCTACAAGGGAAGCAATGGCTGGAAACAAGAGTGCTCACCTGTTATTTCCAGGAACACACGGAAGCTTAAGTAGGAGGCCCACAGCCCCAGCATAAAGCAAGACCAACGCAAAGAGGGGCTGGAGACATAGCTCAAGTGGCAGAGTGCCTACCTAGCAAGCAAGAGGCCCTGAGTTCAATCCTTAGTACTGCCAAGAAAAGAAAAAGAAATAACAAAAACTTTTTAAAGGACTTGGAATAGGGATGGAACTCAGTGGTGGAACACATATGCTAGCATGAACAAGGTCCAGGGTTCGGTCCTCATGATAGATGGATAGATAGATGTATAGATGGATGTATGGATGATAAATAGATAGATGTATAAATGAATGGCTTTTTTTAAGAACCTAAGTAATAGAGCAAAATACACAAAAACTTACTGCAAATTTTCTGCTTCCGTATCTTCTTTCAAATATTCTAAAATTATAAATAAGCAAACTACTGCAGAAAGTATCTTTCAAATCAAGGCAAATTATTCTTCCACATATCAACCTCCAAATCTAGATAGAAATTTAAAAAAAGAACAATAAATAAGAGTAAGATTTGTCCAGGTCTCTGCTGTAGCAAATTTATTGTTTACTTCATACTGCTTATTTATATACTCTGAGCAATACTACGATGCATACACAAAAAGAAAACTAAATGGATGTAACTTTAAGAAATAAGCTCAATAGTCTCATACTAACCATTCTTTCCAACAACAGAACAAAAGGTACTTAAAACTTTGCTTCTTAGAACAGAATGAATTCTCATTAAGAAAAGTTCCTGTGAAAAAATTTATTTGGTAAGATTTAAAAAATCTTATGTTCATTTTTTCTTTCCTTTCTTTTTTTCTTTTTGCCAAGTCATGGTGCCTGAACTCTGGGCCTGGGCGCTGTCCCTCAGCTCTTCAGCTCAAGGCTAGTGCTTTACCACTTGAGCCATAGCACCACTTCCAACTTTTTCTGCTTATGTGGTGCTGAGAAATCGAACCCAGGGCCTCATGCATGCAAGGCAAGCCACTCTACCACTGAGCCACCTTCCCAGCCCTCTTATGTTCATTTTTGGCTACTGAATTTAAAATTTAAAACAATAGCTGTAACTGATAAACAATTTAGTCATAAACTAAAAAAATACACATTTCTCAGCTTAATCTTAATGACCAAACTACTTCACAGCAACTACATACCAGACAATTTATGGAACTATGGTCAAATGTTATTAAATTTGGTAATAGTCCCATATTTTTAAATCAATTTCTGACTGGGTAAAAAAAAGAAACAAGGAAATATAAAAGAAACTGTGGTATATATATATATATATATATATATATATATATATACATAATCATATTTTATTTGGCCATAAAAAAGAATGAAATGTAATGTGTAAGAAAACAGATGGAACTGGAGATCATGTTAAGCAAAATAAGCCAGATTCAGAAAAACAAATATGACATGTTTGCTTTTATGAGATCTCAAGTAAAAAAACAAAAAACAAAGAAAGTAGAAGGGAGACTATTTGGGAAAAGGAAGGGACCAGTGTGAGGGAGAAAGAGGACAGACAGAAATGATGAGGATGGTTTATGAATATAATACTTTATATACATGCATGGAAATATGGTGGAATCCACCTAAATTGTAGAAAAATAAATATGCAAAGAAAGAGCTACTAAAAGTCTTTACAGTCTTTACCATTTTCCGTATTTTTAGATTATCCCAGTAATATTTCCAAAACATTCTAATCTTATTTTCCTTTCATGATTACCATATGAGGCCAGTAAAACAAATTAAACTAATCCTTCCTTTGAGCTTTTGTTGTGGCAAATGACAAATGAAGTTCACAATTTTAACTTTTTTATTTTTGGTGGTAACTGGTGTTTGAACTCAGGGCCTCAAGTTTACTATGTAGGTAGGTGCTCTACTGTTCAGCTACACCACTAGCTCTTTTTTGCACTCATTATTTTTGAGATAGGGTCTCAATTTTCTGCCTGAGTGTACATCTGAACTGCCATACTTCTATTTTCCACTTGCTACCTAGCTGGTATGACAAGACTGTACCACCACACTCAGCTTCTTCCATTGAGATGGAGTCTTATGGGTTTTCTTCTCCATCTGGTATGGAACCACAATCCTGATTTCAGCTTTTCAAACAGATAAGATTACAGCTTTCCAGGACTATCTGACCCTGTACAGAACCCTTACTGGGAGCCACTTGCACCCAGCTCATTTTAACTATTTTAAAATCTATGATTCAGTAGTATTCATATTTAACAGTTTTGTATATCCATCACCACTGACCATTTTCAGAATGTTTCTAACATTCATGACAGAAACTCTGTACCCATTTAGCACTAACTCCCCATTTCCTCTTCCAAAGCCACTGGTGACCTGTTTTACTTTCTTTCTCCACAAATTTGCGTTTTCTAGGTGTTTCATATAAATGGAATCTTATGGTATATATTCTTGGCTTAATTATTATTATTACTACTAAACAGCTACATGTACAAAGCAATTACAATTCCATAAGTCTGCCTGGCTTATTTCATTTCGTATGCTTTCAAGCTTACTAAAAAAAAGCATGGGTTAGAATCTTATCCTTTTACTGATGAATAATATTTTATTGTCTGTACACACATTTTGTTAAATTATTGACAGACATTGGGCTGTTTCCACACACAGGTGTGAATAATGCTGCTGTGAGCATTGGTAATATCCCTACCTTAACATCATGAAGAAAGCACAAAGAATTTGAGTGCCTAAGTCATACCACCTCCTTTCTTGCCCAGTAAAATAATAACATAAATGAGAAGGCTATTACCAAACAGTCCACATCTGTCTCTATCCTAAGCAAGACAGAAGGCACAAGATAGAACCTCTATTTTCAACACACTCCAAAATATAGGGATACTGGACTGACTCAGTGCTGACATCAGGGGGATCATGGATGAGACCAATGTAGGCAAAAACATTTCATAAGATGTCTTTCTCAAGTAACACCTAGGAGCAGTGGTGCACAGCCTTCTAAAACAAACTGAAAACTCACATCCATGAGCTTTCCAGGGCTATTCTACCTTGTACTAGTCCCAACTTCATTCGTCATTCACCCTGTACTGATGGTATTCCCAACTTCTAGCTAAAGCATAAAATAGGAAAACTGTAGTCCAGATGCAGGGAAAACAAGAACGCAAGGACGCAAGGAAAGAAAGAGAGAGAGAGAGAGAGGGAGGGAGGGAGGGAGGAGGAAGGAAGAAAGAAAGGAAGGAAGGAAAGAAAGAAAAGATGGGGGAGGGGAGAGGGGGGAGGGAGAAATGGAGGAAAGGAGGAAGGGAGGGAGGAAGGGAGGAAGGAAGGAAACATGAGACTCTAATTCAAAATAGTTGGAAGTAAAAAGGTCTAGAAATGTAGCTCAGCAGAAGAGTACCTGCCTATAAGTTCAACCCTAGTACAACAAGCACACACGTATATGCACGAACACACAATAACCATCTCTAAATCCTCTCTCCCCACATTCTACATTGTAGTAAAAGTACTTATAAAGCTACCAACCACCAGGAAAACATTAGAATTAGAAAATTAAGACTTTACAATTACTAAAATACAACAAATTGTGTTTCTAGAACCTCAACAATTTTGTTCTGGTTTGTTGTTGTTATTATTGCAAAGAATACTGATAGCTAATTTTAAATTATTTGTGTTTTGTAACCATAATGAAGGACATGGAAACTTGAGACCTGGTGTAGGTGTTAAAAATTATCCGAGGGGTTTTCGTGATTGCTGCTCCGGTCTCGGGCGCTCGGTGATCCTTGTCACCTCGCCGCCGGCATGTCTCAGGCTGAGTTTGACAAGGCTGCTGATGAAGTTAAACCCCTCAAGACCCAGCCTGCTGACCCTGAGATGCTGTTTATCTACAGCCACTTCAAACAAGCCACTGTGGGTAATGTAAATACAGATCGGCCCGGGTTGTTGGACCTCAAGGGCAAAGCCAAGTGGGATGCCTGGAATCAGCTGAAAGGGATGCCATGAAAGCTTACATCGATAAAGTAGAAGAACTAAAGAAGAAATACGGAATGTAAGAGATAGGACTTGGTGGCCAGCCACACATTTAACCTAAAGTGATATCATGCCTTTTTTTTTCTAATACTGTAGATTATGTGGCTCTAACACATTAAGGGAAGAATTGGTTACTGGTCCTTCCTAAACAGTTTTTATCTGAAATGAATTAAAAGTGCATTTTAAAAAAAAAATTTTTTTAAATTATCCGAGGGGGGGCTGGGAAGGTGGCTCAGTGGCAGAGCGCTTGCCTTGCATGCATGAGGCCTTGGGTTCGATTCCTCAGCACCACATAAGCAAAAAGAAAAAAGCCGGAAGTGGCACTGTGGCTCAAGTGGTAGAGTGCTAGCCTTGAGCTGAAGAGCTGAGGGACAGCGCCCAGGACCAGAGTTCAGGCCCCACGACCAGACTCCCCAAAAAAAAAATTATCCAAGGGGGAGGGAGGAGGATAGGGGATGGGAAGGGGAAACAAAGGAGGAGGCAACAATGCTTGATAAGAAATGTACTCATTACTTTGCCCATGTAATTGTAACTCCTCTGTACGGTATTTGCACAATAAAAAAAAAAGAAAATTCCTACTTCAAATACTTAGAAAAAAAATTACTATGGGGCTGGAAATGTGGCTTAGTGGTAGGTAGAGTGCCTAGCATGCATGAGGCTCTGGGTTCGAATTCTCAGTACCACATACACAGAAAAACCCACAAGTGGCACTGTGGCTCAAGGGATAGAGTGCTAGCCTTGAGCAAAACAAGCTCAGGGGCAGTGCCCAAGCGAGTTTAAGCCCCAGGACTGGCCAAAAAAAAGAATTATTATGAAAAATAACTCTTACTCCTTAAAAAATGATCACTGGCTTGAACTCAACTGAGACAAAAAAAAAAAACTGAAGGCAGTATCTCTACCTCAACTGCCAGAATCTTGTGAACTCAGAACCTACAAAATAAAGCCTTTTACTGATTGTCCTTCAAGACTTCAAGCCTACATCAGTCTTCATCAGTCTGTACTGTACTCTAGAGTCTGAAGTACCTATGGCTTCCTGAAGCAAAATACTTCTCTTTCTGTTAAATCACAGTTATCCTTTCTTCTAAATCAAACTAAAAATACAACCCTGAGCTTTCCAGGACTATTCCACACTGTAGTAGTTAGTTCCAATTTCATTTCTTCCCCATTTGAGGGACTAACACACATTTGTGTCTTATGGTATTAGCGTGTGTGTGTGTAGAATTTCTATTCCACACTGTAGTAGTTAGTTCCAATTTCATTTCTCCCCCATTTGAGGGACTAACACACATTTGTGTCTTATGGGTGTATGTGTGTGTGTGTGTGTGTGTGTAGAATTTCCAGGGAAGAATGAAAACTCATTAGCTCTTGTAATAGGTGTGTGTGTGTGTGTGTGTGTGTGTAGAATTTCCAGGAAAGAATGAAAACTCTTCAGCTCTTGTAGTAGGGGTGTGTGTGTGTGTGTGTGTAGGGGTGTGTGTGTGTGTAGAATTTCCAGGAAAGAATGAAAACTCTTCAGCTCTTGTAGTAGGGTGTGTGTGTGTGTGTGTGTGTGTGTGTGTGTGTGTGTGTGTGTGTGTGTGTGTGTGTGTGTGTGTGTGTGTGTGTGTAGAATTTCCAGGGAAGAATGAAAACTCTTCAGCTCTTGTAGTAGTTCTTATGAACCCTTGACACCTTGAAGACACAGGTGCCATGATGTAGTATTCAGCCAGATGAACTAGATTAATCCCAGAAACTAAAGGGCCCTTTCGAATCCCCTGGAGATAGTTTTTATTTTCTTATAATTTGGGAATCAAACCAGGGTCTTGCACATACTAGTCAAGGATTATTATCACTGAGCTACCTTCTCAATCCCCAGGGATAACTTTTAAAAGAATACCAGTGTCCAAACCCCAGACCAGGCTCTTTAACTCAGCTGGTCTAATGTGACTTTCTAGGTTCTTCCACATATATGTATATGTATATATATCTTCCAGATATTGTATGTAGCTTTTTTAAGTTTCTCTAGGATTCTAATGTGTAGCTAGTGCATTATATAACCCAACAGAGCACCAAAGCTATACTCTGTTCTGACAGAAAAGAATGTCATGAATAAATAATTCAAAGAACTTCACTGGAATTTGGTGAAGCCAACCTAAGCAATGGCACTATTTACATTTTATGAACAGTTCATTATTAAAATGGCTAATCAAAAACCTTAACAAAGAAGTGGCAGATTACATACAGTATAAGATGTATTAACACGAAGGGTTGGGGGGATAAAAAAAAAAAAGATGTATTAACACTCCAATTCACAAGTAAGAACTCAACACCAGAATTTTCAATAAGCTTTTCTACTTGGTTTAATTACCACCATAAAAGTAATCATTAATCAATGTGACATCAATCATCAGTGTGTTATGGCTGAAAGAGTTTTACATTATCTAATCAAATATTCCAAATGGAGACAAGTATTTGGAGACCTTGAATATGCAGAATGAATCTAAAAGATTTAACATTGTCTAAAAATTCCTTTGAAATCATAAAATGTATTTCCATCAAGTAAAAAATAAAACTGAAATAGATGTGTGTTCAATAAAATACCGTGTGGACTTAGGTATGCTAGTGGTAGATTGCTTGCCTAGCACACTTGGAGCCCTAGGCTCAATCCCCAACATTGTCAAAATACAGAAAGAAATACTGCAATTTCTTCATTATAAAATCTGCTTTGCTGAAACAAGAATATGTGCATATTAACAATACTACTAAAAATTATTTTTACATATTTGGGTACTGTGAAGGACTAATACATAATAAGAAGAAAAAGCAAATCTAAGGGGGAAAATAATCCCTTCTCTCAGAGGCCAATGGAGCAGTGCTTACCTGGAAATCATTCTTGACAGCATGGAGGTCATACACAAAAAACTTCTGACAGTGAGGCAGCAAGAGGGCCAGCACTAGGGACAGGGCACCGGGGACCAGCAAAAGACTCTTTGACAGAGGTGCCTTGTCTGAAAGGAAAGGAAACACATTCAGGATGATTGTTTTGTTTTGTTTTGTTTTTTAAAGCATATGGGTGAAAAAGAATTTTTTTTTTTTTGGTCAGTTGTGGGGCTCAAACTCAGCCTGGGAAACTGTCCCTGAGCTTTTTTGATCAAGGCTAGCACCACTTCCTGTTTTCTGGTGGCTAATTGAAGATAAAAGTCTCACTCTCCTGCCCAGGCTGGCTTGGAAAGGTGATCCTCAGATATCAGCCTTCTGAGTAGCTAGGATTATACTGGCACAGGTGAAAACTGACTTCTTGAACCAGAATAAAGACAAAGCTCATAAGCTCCAACTTTTAGTTCTTACTAAAACATGTGCCTACAGAATTAAGTGATCAAGAGACACAGGAGAACAAATGGAATTCTCTGGGAGGGCTTCACTGGAAATGTGAACACCTCCACGGAACACCTTCAAGAAAATGGTTACTAAAATGTGAAGCAATAGTTTCTTCCAGCAGACTGTGCACTTAGCTCCTGGGTCTGTAGCATATTCACACACATAAATATATTTGTTTTATAAGAAATTAAGTGAGGTTATCATTGCCAACTGCAGTGATATTTTAAGATTTTCTGCCATGAATATGAGAGGAGTCTGAGTAAGGTTTTTCGTAATAGTTAATGGAACCTCAGCCTTTGCTCTAAATACAGACATTGGGATTCTAATCGCATGTTATAGCAGCAATATAAGATTAATACTAGTCATTGTGATGGAAAGGATTAAGATACACAAGATGAAGTGATGCTGACAAAAATGTTTACATTAGCCGGGCACGGTGTCTCACACTATGCTACTCAGGAGGCTAAGCTCTGAGAATTGAGGTTCAAAGCCAGCTGGGGCAGGAAAGTCTGAGATTCGTATCGCCAATAAACCACCAGAAAACGGAAGTGGTGCTGTGGCTCAAGTAGTAGAGCATTAACCTTGAGCTGAAGACCTGAGGGACAGTGCTCAGGCCCACGATTCAAGCCCCACAACTGACAAATAAATAAATAAATCTTTACATTATGGACTCTCAGATTTCATGATACTTAGCCAAACTCAGAAACATATTGGGCACTCGTAAGATTTAAAAAAGAATACTCATGGGCTGGGAATGTGACTTAGTGGTAGAGTGCTTACCTAACAAGCATGAAGCCCTGGGTTCAATTCCTCAAGTACCATATAAGCAGAAAAGGCTGGAAGTGGTGCTGTGACTCAAGTGGTAGAGTGCTAGCCCTGAAGCTCAGGGACAGTGCCCAGGCCTTAAGTTCAAGCCCCAGGACTGGCCAAAAAAAAAAAAAGGAATACTCATATCATAAAATTATACAATAAAAAAAGCAAGGACAATTTAAACTAGTCTTTTATAAAGATATAAACCACTTTAATCCAGAAGGCCTTTTTTAAAAAAAATAAATTACAGTGCCCTAAATATTAAACCATTTTCATTTCCTTATGCACATCTAGCTATACATTATACAAGATTTGTTTTTTCAATTAAAAAACATTATTTTGGTGAGTGCTAGTGGCTCAGGCCTGTAAGCCTAGCTAATGAGGAGGCTGAGATATGAAGATCAAGGTTCAATGCCAACCCAAGCAGTAAACTCATAAGATTCTTATTTCTGATTAATCACCAAAAAACTGGAAATGGAGCTGTGGCTCAAATGGTAGAGTGCTGGCCCTGAGCACAGAAGCACTTAGGCTAAGTTCAAGCCCCAGGACCAGCACAAGAAGCAAAACAAAAATGCTGTTTTGACAAAATATTCCATAGGTCATGGAGCAATCAAATGTTTCCCATAATAAAAATAGCCAGTTTCAGTTTATATAATTGCCATGTGTCTGCATTACCTTGCAAGGCAAAACTGCACATGTTTATGAATCTTTATCAACAGCCTCCCCCAACTTGTCACCTCCAAGGAAGAATTACAAGCCCTGGCCTTCTTCCCAGGACTCCATAGTCTGGGCCCATCTGCTTGTCCAGCATGACCACCCACTGTTCTGCTCCATGGGTCCTCAACTGTAACCAAAGTTCTCATCTTAGCATCTCTTCAACATAGTTGTTTGTTTCAGTGCTTTTGGGAAAAAAAAAAATGTTTCCCAAATACCACCCAGGCCCAGGCCTTCCCAGCGAACATACTTTTGTATTTCCACTTTCCTCCACCAGCCTAAGTGAATCGTGTTGGCCACAAGACCTCACTTTGTGCCTCAGTTCCCACACTCTGCTTTAACAGTCAGGGCTCCATTCAGTTTTGCCCTTCCAGTGACATGAAAGGTAGGGAGGCCATATACCTCACGCTTTGCTAGAGCTGCCATGAGCAGAGAACAGCTCCTTATACAGAGGAACACTCAGCTCACCAGTAGGCAAGACCTCAGAGAAACAACCCTGAGGGGACAATCTCAGATTCTGCATCTTATTAAGAAGAAATTCCCTAGGGATAGACTTACCAGTTACAGTTGCTACTGTGGTTACTGCACTTGTGCAAGCATACAAAAATAACACAGCTATTTCCTCCCTGGTCAGGTCCTGCAAACATCTAAACTGGAACCCCAATAAGAGGCGGCTGCATACTCTTCTCGTCGAAGATTCTCTGATCTAACCCTTAGTAGATCTCCCCATGGGCTAGTGCATCCAAAGTGTGTGTGTGGAAGCACCATGATTGTGCATGTGACGACCTATATTCAATTCTGAGCAATGGAAGCTTCAGTTTTATTCACATATATGTATTTATTCCATATGACCCATTAATTCCATTCATGGGCATAGACCCATAATCTGGAAAGAGATGTCCAAACAAAGATCTGTATACAAATGTTCAAAGCAGTATTATCATGACAAGCAAAAGCAACCCAATGGCTACCAACAAATGAACTGATAAACAAAATGTGGTATATTCACACAACCGAGTATTATTCAGCCATAGAAAAAGTAGATCTCAAAAACTATGCTAAGTGAAAGCCAGACCCAAAAAGTCACATAATGCATGACTGCGTTTATATGAAATGTCCAAAATATAAGAGTATGTAGAAACAAAGCAGATGAGTGGGCATCAGAGAGAGAGGAGGAGGACGGAATGGGGAGCAAGTACATAATGGGACTAGGTTTCTTTGTGGGATAATGAAATGTTCTGGAATTACGTGGAGTTGATGTTACTTACTAACAATATAAATGTGCTAGAAGCCATCAGGTGCTCATTTCAAACTCATTAAAATGGTGTGTTTTAAGTTATATGAATTTTATCTTAATAAAAATGTGATTGCTTGAGCCCTGAAGACACTAACCACAGGTTTTGCAAAGCTTAGCCATGTGGGCTTCTACAGCAAGATGCAGCCTAGCTAAACACTAATTGGGGAAGCAGCAACCAGCACCTCTGCCTGCCCAAAGTCTGCCATATAAAAATACATGTCAAAAAAAAAAAAAACCCAGTGTGGTTCACACTGTTAAGAAGCGGGGGCCACCATATCCTACCACAAGATTGGGTTCCCATTTCTGACTATTTAACTACTTGGTAAGCTTCTCAGGGTTCCCATAAGAATTGATAGTGAGATGTTTTGATATTTCATAAAGTTAACTATTTTAAAAGCTTTTCATCAAAAAGAGGCTGTGTACCCTCTAAGGAAAATGTGCCCTTCACACTGGAACAGAGCTTACAGTCAGCCTGCCATTGAAGGTATGGACTCTTGGGAAAAAAGATCTACTCACAAACAAGGACACTCATGCTAAGTGCTTAAAACCGAGTCATTTAATACTATTGGCTGACCAAGCAAGGACCAGAAAGTTCAACACCATGGCCTCCTGTGGGGGGAAAATAAAGGACTCCAAAAGGAAGTCAGGGAACAAAATGAAGTATGCCAAGACCGAAAGCAATGATGCAAGCAAGAGTCAAGAAAGAGCAGTAGCTGAGAGTGAACTTACGGTAGTAAAAATATCAAAAGAAATTAAAAGTCCCTGTAGCAACAGAGACTTTCTGGCCTTGACGTCTATTTTTTTTTTTCACTGAAGTTCATTATATGCCCAATTTCACAATAAATGTACAACCATACTATTAATATAGCTATTGGTTTTCTTTTTTTTTTGTCTTTTCTTTTATCGAACCCAGGACACTGCATTTGCTAGGCAAGTGCGTTGCCGCTGAGCTACACCTCAGCCCAGCTATTGGTTTTCTATAGAAAAGCAACTTACAAGTTTTAGAGTCTAGCTATTACAGAGAAGACTAAAGCATACACCACACATACTTAACACACGAAAAAAATTAGACTACAAAAGAGGTGCACTTGTTCCTGTTATAATTTTTCATTTCCATAGTAGAGACTACTGACTGTGCCAAAAAATAATAAATCAAAAACGGACTTTTAGCTGGGCACTGATGCCTCATACTTAAAATCCTAGATATTCAGGAGGCTGAGATTGGAGGGTCATAGTTCAAAGCTAGCCCTGGCAAAAAGCCAGAAGTGAAGGTTCAAGTTGTAGAGTGCTTGTCTTGAACAGAAAAAGCCAAGTGAGAGCATATGGCTCTAAGTTCAAACCCAGGCACCAGCAAAAAACAAGCAGATTTTCCCCCATTATTTAAAATTATAAAGGTGACCAGGCTGTAGTCAAACCATAACTAAAAGATGAATGGCTAACAAAGAAAAAAAGTTCATTTTCCCAGGTATTCAAAGAAATGTGGATGAAGATAAGGACCTGACAGTTCTTAATCTTTCTGTAGACAGAAATTTTAAATAATCATTCAACTTACAAATTTGGTTAGGAACTGCTGCAAAGCATAAAATGACACATCCTTTCTGGAAAGATTCCACAAGAAATTCACAGTTATAATTCTTTGACCCATAATTCCAAGTGTGTGATTATTGTTAACATTATGCCCACCTTTGGTCCTCAGCTCTACCCATACCAGAGCTCCTCCCTGCCCTGGAGTTCCCGCCCTACAGCTGGTCCCTCCTTCTCTCCACCCAGACCCACCTAAGCACCCACCTACCTCCCTTCCTGCCCCCA